TCTCCCCCCACGAGGCGCCCGAGAAGCATGCCAAGAGAACCCTCTTGGGGGCCTGATGGCGGCCTCGGGGGCCCACTTGTGGCTGAGGGCTCGACATGTCAACTCGAGTTCCCCCTGTTGGACCCCGCCTGGGGCCCTCGGGCCGTTTGGGGCGCTTCTTGGACCATCTTGGGTGTCCTGGGGCCCTCTTGGGGGCTGTTGGGCCGTCTTGGGGCGATCTTGGGATTCTCTTGGGCCGTCTTGGACGTTGCTAAAACCCCAAAGCGAACCATTGTACTAAAGATACATGTTGTCCAAAAGCAATGGGGCAGGTTTGGCCTCCTGGGGCCCTCCCAGGGGGGCGTCTGAAAGCCTTCTTGGAGCTTCGTCGGGGCCTCGGAAACCTCTTCGGGCATGGTTGGCCATGCTGGGCCGCCAGACGGAGGCCTGCGGCCCCAACGGGGGTCCAAATTCCTGGGGGGGGATCCGGGAGGGTGGCGCTGGCCCCGGGTACACACACACAGACACATATATACATACATACATACATACATACATACATACATACATACATACATACATACATACATACATACATACATACATACATACATACATACATACATACATACATACATACATACACATACATACATACATACATACATACATACATACATACATACATACATACATACATACATACATACATACATACATACATACATACATACATACATACATACATACATACAGACAGACAGACAGACAGACAGACAGACAGACAGACATGCATACATACATCATACACACACATACATACATACATACATACATACATACATACATACATACATACATACACACATACATACATACATACATACATACAAACATGCATGCATGCATACATGCATACATACATATGTATATGTGTAGGCATACATATACACACATATATATAGGTGTATGCATACACATATACATATTTATTCATATATATATATACATGGATATGTATAGATACACCGGCTACACATGTATATGTACATCTGCGTACACATACGACATGTGCATGCATATGTGACTATGTGTATACATATGTGTGTGTATATGTTATTGTGGGTTGTGTCTGAGTGGGCGGCCGGGCCGCCTCTGATCCCAGCTGCGCTTGCACGTCAGCGAGCAGCTCAGCAAGCTGCGTCCGATCCCTCCAGCCTCCGCGCGGACTGGGCGGCATGAGAATGGAGGCTCCTGCCTGTTCGTCAAAACTTGCGCTTCCCATCTCCCGTCTCAAATCATTCGAGGTTGTGCGTTTGTTTCACAGCGTGGCTCCCCGGAGGTCTGGACCCCTGGCCGGGGACCGGTTTCTTCTCCCGAGTCGCTCCTTGACAGTCCTGCGCGAATCGGACAAAGGAAAACACCAAACGCCTTGAGCCAAAATCCGACTTCGTGCTGTTGTTTGCAACGCGGCTCCCCAATCTTCCGGACCCCTTCACAGGGACTGGCTCTCCATCCCGAGTCATGATCTGACACTCCTGGGAGCCAACTGAAGGCCTCCGCGGGTGTCGAAAATAGAAGGAAACTTTTTGTCGTTTTGTTCGCGACGCGAGAATTTCGGGGTGGACGAAGAAAGCGGGATAACAACAACGGAAGACATCGAATCGGAAGGAGCCAGAGATCTCCGATAGCCAGTCTGGAGGGCCCATGCGGGGCGCCGCAGCCCGTCCAGAGCGCTTCAAGTCTGCAGATCGCTCTCGGAACTTCCTCGAACACCCTGGGCCGATTTGTATTCGTCCTAGGCCTGCTTGGCGTACGTAGAAGCTGGAACATGGAAAGTTCCATTGGAAGTGGAAGTGGAAACTGGCATGGGCAGACGCGCGCCCGAAACAGTTGGGATGAGGTCGCCAGGGCTGGGTAAACTGAAGAGAAACTGACCAGAGCTGACAAGACTCGAAGAGTCAGCGGGTACAATGCCCAACAACAAATATTGTCCCAAACCAACAGCGGCCGCTGTTGGGCAGGCGGCCTTCTGTCTCGAATGGACACAGGCCGTGGCGACACCGACAGCGAGTCCTGTTCAATGTACCCGTTTTTTCCGTACCCATTTCGTTCGTGCCGAATGATATCCCCCCCCCCAGTCCTCACCCACCTCGCTGCCGCCCCCGATGCGTAAGTGGTGGATCCTCGTGAGGTCCTATGCGCCACCCAATGGCAAGCCACACTGTTCGAGCACGCAACCTTGCGAGGCCGCGCGTCGCATCAACAACAGCCGCCCCCGAGGACAGGCAGCGGTCGAGCGACGGCGGGGCGCGCCGGCGCAACGAGGGCAGCAGAACACGAGGCGCGAGGCGGCCAGTGGGGCCGGAGGCGAGGGGGCCACACGCAGACTGGGCTTTTAAGATGTGGGGGGGGGACAAACTATTTTTTATGACGAAGCTTGAATAGTATCAAGATTATCCCGAGTGAGCAAAGCAAGTCTTCACCAAACGACACGCAGACAGACTTGGCGAGGGGGCCAGTGGGGCCCTGGCAACTTTTTGCTCAACTTCCCTGTGGCAAAACACGCCGATACAAACTGTCGGAGTATCGATTTGACTGTCTCGGGTCGGCGCCGGCCTCGGCGCCGGCCTCCCTCCCCTGGATCTCACAGTCGAGAGCTTGGCCGGCGTCGGTGCAGGATTTTCTTATGCCAGACAGATCCCTGCAGGTTTCGCTGTCGCTGTTGTGCAATCGGTCAAGGCTGCTTGCATGGTTCCCCAAACGGACTGAAAGAGAAAGAACCTGGCTCATCAACTTCAGAAAATACTGCCAGCACCAAAACGAACTCCTCGAAAACGTTTGAAAGTCAATACCCATGTCCCCGGCCTTGTTCAAGGCCCTCTTCACGTCGGCAATATTGTTCTCCGTCCGCCTGACTGGACTTGCAAAAGGTCTCCAGATCGAGCGTTGGGCCTTCTCAGCCGCGCCTGCTGAGATCCGCTTCACCTGGGGACCTTGCCCGCGGAGGCGGTGGCTGCGCAGAGGGGCGTCCGTTACTTTACTGCGGCAGGCGGCGAGGTCACTGGCCTGGTAACCTCAGAGGGTTCTTAGTTTTGGTCCCCCCAACGTTTCCCTCGGCGGTGAATGGGCCTGGTCCTGAAACCTCCTCGTCGCGGCGGGCATTAGTTTCCCTCTTCTGCTGGGAAGGCTGGATAATGTTGGGGTTATTCTTTCTCCCAGTGCAGGGAATAATGCTATATGGGTTATGTTGCACGGAACAATGCAGTTGAGCACGTTTGTAAGAGGATTGTTATACATGTCTTTATATATATATGTATTTATATATATACCGACGTAGAGGATGAAGCTTCTGAGCCTGGAATTTCTGAAAGCTCGCGCGGGCCTGAGCTTCAATAGCCTTTCTCAGGATGGAATTTTCAGGATGAAGCTTCTGAGGGCCAAATCCCTGAGCCAAGATTATCCGTAATGAGTAACAGTCGCCGTAGTCGTAGTCGCACTCGTAGTCGTGAATGTCGGCGTCGTTGTTGCGCGGCGGGTGCCGCGCGGAAAAATGATTTGCTTCTCCGATCGCTTTACGAGTCCTTTCACCTGGTCCAGGGCAATTTCTCTCTTAATCCAGCGCATGGTGGGGCCCTGTTGTCCGGAGGGGACTTTGGTAGGAAGATCTGGCGGCATAACCAACACTGGAACCATGCGGAGTTTGTCTATGACGAGGTCGAAGAAAGTCGGCCAGTGACCGCTGAATGGGTACTCGTTGAGGACCTCGGGCGTGTTTACATACTCCTGGGAACACTCCGAAATCAAGTCGTAACACAACATGTTCTGGACCTTCTTGGTATATAGGGCAGGGCGGCTCGGTACTAATACTTGCAAGCCTGTCCTGGAACAGAAACCGCTTTGGTTGGCAGCATCTGGCCAAGATGGGCGAGGAATGGAAGGAGCCCGAGATTCAAACCATTCAATCCCACTTCGTTTCGCAGGTGGAGCGAACAAAAACACAAGGTGGCATGTCCAGGAGGAGGGGGAGGAGAAGGACCGGTGCGAACCAAAGATTCTTCAACTATATTGCAATACGCCCTGCTTCCAAATTGCCTCTTCATAGGTCCCATACGCGGATTCAATTTCACGGGGGGTAGTGTCCCCTTGGAAGACAACCGATTCAAAATCTGGAAGTTGTGCGAGAGGTCCATTCCTGGCACATCCACGCCGCGAGTCACCAGTACTGTTGCGTCTTGACGATCCTGAATCCCGCCAAAGCACCATACCTTCAACTTCAACACCGCGGACCAACGTGACTGTAGCACCCTGACCCCTGACATTCCGACATCGTACCAAAACGGCCATGTTGGGACGTTAACTATGAAAATCCTTGAAACGGCTGCGAATTCTTCAAACAAATGCGCGCGCCGCCAATGCAAGAACCACACTTTGAAAACGGGCCACCTTCAATCCGCGAACCTCTTGCAAAATTGTAATACGAATGTGCGCGGCGCGACTGCCAGAACCACGCTTTGAAAATGGGCCGCTCTCCATTCGTGAGGCTATTGCAACTTTTTGCGAAGAGCAAGCGCGACTGCGCAAATGCGAGCACCACATTTCAAAAACAAAACCGTCCTCCATCCGTCTTGTAAGCTTCAAATTGGATGATAACAAATGAAGAGAAGGTTTCGGGCGAACCGCCCGGCCCGCCCTTTCGACTGGTCTCGTGGCGCGACAGGAGGGAATTATCTACCAGGACAAAAGATGGAGGAGGAAAGGAGAACGACGACGAAAAGGAGAAGGAGAAGAGGAGAACGAGGAGGACAAGGAAAACGAGGAAAAGGAGAAAAGGAAAGCGAGGGATGGAGGAGGAAGGGGAGCCGAGGAGGAAAAGGAAGAAAAGGACGGCGGCGGCGGAAGCGCCGCGCCGCTCCGCACGGCGGCCTCGGCCCGCTGCCCTCCAGAGGCCAGCCGCCTCCAGGCCGCGCAGGAGACCCGCGCGGCAGGGCTCGGCGCCCGCCGGGAGCGCCCCGGCCGCCCTGCCCTTCCAAGCCGCCGGTTTCTTCCTCCTTTTCCTCCTCCTCCTCCTCCTCCCACCCCCTCCCTCCGTCCCTCCCTCCCCCCGTCTCTCCTGTTCTTCCTCCTTTTCCTTTTTCTCCTCCCCCCTTCCTCCCTCTGCCGTCTGTTACTGATGGCGGAATAAAACCGGCGAAGCACAATGCTGGGGTTCAGGGGAGGAAGGTCCGACAACTATCCCGCCCCCATGGACGCACAACCCGACGGCCACCACACAGGTGGAACGGACCTCACCACTAAAGCTGTCAACCTCGGGTCCACGCCAAACTTCAACAACATCAGAGAATCCTGATACAAGTGGTTACGAAGGCCCCCGTGGCATTCGTGGAAGTGTTACTTCGGAAGCATGACTGGTCCGCGCCACGTTAGGCGGCCCACCACAAGGAAACGCGCTCACTGCAGCACGATTATCCCTTCGCTCGCCGCAGTGCAAACACATGTGCGATACTTTGGCTGCACACTCTATCGCATGCCCCCACGTGTCAGGCACAAGCTTCTTGAGGCAGGGCTTGGCCCGACGGGGCCTGCGGATGTTCAAAACGTAGGGGAGATCCTTGGCAGCCAGATCGCTCATTATTTCGGTAGTCGGCCATGCCGACTGCCGAAAACTGGGCCCAGCATCTCTGGAATTCCCGCGGGCCCAAGGATTATGCGGCCAGGCGGCGGCTCCATTCCGGGCAAGCTGCCAGCTCATCTGCCCGCGCGCCCCCCCCCCCCCGCTATTTCCAGGCGTCGGCTCCAAGCGCGCGGGCCGGGCCAGGGAGAGGTGAGACTTAATCTTGGTGAGAGAGGCCCCACCGAGCCCAGTCTCACCAGCTCGCTCCAATACCTCCTTCCAAAAGCTCTAAAAGCGCAACGCCTCCCCGATCTTGCTCAGCCCCGACACTCCAGGTGACCAGGACCGCCTTGCAATCGACGAAGGCGCACGAGCAAGGCATGCACCTCGCCGAATCATCAGGCCTGCGCTGCGCGCGGCAACGGACCGCGCAACGACCCAGCCACGCGCCCTCGTAAGGAGTCTAACGACATCGACGCGACCGCCCATCCAGCTCGAGTGGACCCGCCCAGGCAAGCCCAAGGCCCGAGACAACCCCCAGGGGGGGGGGGCACCATCGCACTCATATCCAGCTTGGGCATACGGAGCAGGCCATTGCCGCTCGGGGCGCTAAGACAGCGCACAGGGCGCCAGCTGGCCATTCATGGGCGCGCTGTCGCGCCCAAGCAACTCGACCACGTCTACATCTTTGCGAACAGACGCGTGGCCTGGGCAACAACGGCCGCGATGACATGCTGCCCCTCAGCGGACCGCGGATGCGCGGACTCTGGCCGCGCAGCTGACACGGGTAAACCGCCGCTCGGCGGTCGTGGCGCAGCGCGAGCTGCGTCGGGCCGCTTCCAGCCACGACCCGCGCCAAACCTGCTGCGGCCGAGAACCTCTCCGAGCCCCTAACCCCATGGAGAACATGGCCCCCCTTTGGGCTCCGGCGGCCCAAAACTCACCCCCGATGCCCTTGAGAAACACATCCCGATCCGGAACTGGGCGTCGACCTCTTCCCCGCGTGACTCGACAAACATACTCCGGCTTCACAGTTCAGCCTCATCTTTCAATGGCGAGGACATCTGCGCCAGCAGGTCCGCCGAGATTTGGCCGCCCTCGGACAGGCCGGCGACAGCGTGCAAATAATATTGCTGTCCAGGGCGCCATGCTGCGCCCGTCCCGAGCGGGCCGCTTGGCCCCGAGCTAAGAGAGGCAGCGCGCGCGCGTCGCGCGACGGGCCACGCCTTCGGATTCACCGAGGGGAGGGGCCCCGACGTCCTCTCCAGACCCTTCGGATCCCCCAAACGGGCGACGCCGAGGCTCGTCAGCAAATGCCAGCAGGCAGAAGAAGACACGCCATTCGCAAGACATCCGTGCAATGCAGCCTCCCATCATTGTAACGTTAAACCACCCCTTTCTCTCGCTGCTGAGCCCGCGTGTCCTCCTAATCCCGAATCTCTAGAGACGCTTGCGCAAGACCTTCGAACTCCTGGCCCTTGTCTGCGTCGCCCGGTCACGGGCGAGGTTCCGCCCCGAGACGATGCCAAGGACATTTCACTTGCGCAGTCTGGCGATGATGATGGGGCGACGTTGCGAAATGCGGAACCTTTCGCTTGCGAGATGATCAGCCGCAGCTTCTCGAACCGCGCGCCCGCGCGCGATGCCATCTACAAAGTTCATTAAACGAGGCAGCGCTGGGAGACAATCCCGAGCGAGGTTTAAGCGGCCCGCGGGCATGACCCGAGGCAGTGCGGCAAGGAAACCGCAGCCAGTTAGAACGCCTCGTCGGGCCGACGCAAGGGCCCCCACCACTCCGCGCGCGTCGATAATTCTGCTCCGCGGAAAAAGGCCAACAGCAAACGCAGCTTGACTAGGCTCAACTTATGTTGGACGGTGGCAGCGGCGAGCTTGTTACGTCGCCGCGCGGCAGATGCAAACCGGGCTCGTGCCTGAGCGACGTCGGGGCAAGAGGCCACGAACTAGCCCGCGCGCAAGGGGGCGGGGGCGAAGGCGGGCGGCCGCGAAGGAGGGCGGGGGGTCGCGAGGCCCGCTTGCGCGGCGGGGTAGCGGTGGAGGGCGGGGCGCGGCCTGGCTGAAGTGCACGCTGACAGTCGTCGCGGGGCGTCGTCGCTGCGCAGCCGGGGCGGGGTCTGGCAACTGGCGACCACGGGGCGGGCCAAACCCAAGCAGGTAAGAAGGTGAGAGGCCGCGGCGGCTGGAGACAAGGTGGCCGGCGGCGAGGGGGGGCGGCGGCGCGGGGTCAGCGGCGCGGTCGGCCAACGTTGCAGCGGCTGCGCGGCGCCCGTGCAATGAAGGGCCAGCGGCTCCGCAGGGGGGGCAGCCGGGGCACTCCAGACGCGGGGCGAACAGGAGAATATACGAAGAAGAAAAGGCGCCACTCACTAACTGGCGCACGGCATCGCGGCCGAAGCGCGCGTCGCCCAATTCAAGTGACGCGCGGGTAAGTCATTAGCGCGGAGGGGGAGTCCAGCCGGCAGACACGCTGCGCGGGCGGACCGCGACGGCGCAGGCCCCCGCGGCGAACGGCGTTTGCGACTGGGGCAACGCCGCCAGCGGCGCAGGGGCTGCAGCGCACGCAAACGCCCTGGGGCGCGGTGACCATGAAGGGAGGTCGGACTGCGCCCGGTCGGAGAACGGAGGCGCGGCCTGGGGCGGCGGTGGAAGCCAAGCCGCTCGACGGGCCGACCAAGGGCGAGGGGGGGGGGGGGGGGGCGCCCGCGGCGGCCAAAGCGGCAAAGCGGGAGGTGAACCGCAACGGCGGCGACCCCAAAACTGAGCAGCAGCCGCAGCTGCGCGGGCTGCGGGCGCTGTGCTGGCGGGGGCGGCCCAGCCTCGACAAGCCGGAGGCGGGGCGGAGCGGGGGGGCCGGGGGGGGCGGGGCGCTCGACCTCGACCGCGCAGCTCCTGGGATGGACGCTGCGCGGGAGCGCGGGCGCGGCGGCGTCGCCCCTCGGGCTGAAAGAGCGCGGCCGTCGCCGCAAGCGGAGCCATGTAGAGCGGAGCACTTAACGGGCGCGCTCGCCAGTGGGAAAAGGAGCGCAGCGGCCTCCTGGGTTGGAATGCCCCCTGCGATCACGGCGCGGCCGAGGAGCGAGCGGTCCGCGCTGGAGTCCAGGCAGGTTGAACAGCCACCGCCGCCCACGGCGCGCGCCTCGCCAGCGCGGGCCCCCCCCGGGTGGCCCCGCCGATCTGGCGCAACCGGGCCAACGGAAGCACCTAACTGGCGCGCTTGCTGGCGGCGACCTGCGCAAGAGGAGCCGGGGCTGGGCGACTGCGCGCGCGCGCGGCGCCGCGGGCCTCGGCGAGCCCATGCGGGCCGCCTGGGCCATCGTGCTTCACAGGCCGCGTCGACGGGGCTGATCTCCTGCGGGCCACGTGGGCCCGCTGCGCCCCCGCCCCTGGCCGGGCGCCCGCGAGCGCCTGCTCTGCCGCTGTCGCCAGACAGCGCCCCAATCCACTTCCAGGCGCCCGCCGTTGCAGGGGGGCGGGGCGTCGCGGCCCATAGTGGCCAGCACCTCCAGGAAAGCACGGCAACGGCGAGCAAGCAATGGCACGCCTTCCAGGGGGTCTTCGCGGCGTCCGCGAGGCAGGGGCCTGAGCGGCCTTCAGCGCTGACATGTCGTTATGCCGTCAAACTTCGCCCCCCGGGCGCTCTCTCCACGCGCTTTCCGCGTCTGCCGTAGAAGTAGTCTCCGCGGCCATCTTGGCCCCCGCGCTCCCTCGCGCCTCGACCAGCGCGGCGGCGACGGCCCGGGAGGCCATCCGAGGCGCGGTCGAGGCCTCGGGGCTTAACGCATCAATGCCACGCGCCATGCGCGACGGGAACTCTCCGGCGGCCCCCCTGGCTGTCATCGACCGACCGGGGCTCCGAGCACAAGTCTGGCATGGAAGCCTCGACGACGACTACTGAGGCCCCCGCGCAAAATCTCGAGACCTTGCAAGACCGACGATTTCATCTTGAAGCCTCAACGGGGCCGAGGCCCCCCAGCCGCGTTGCCGCTCGACTCGGGCGGGGACTAGCCGACGGGGCACCGCGAATGCTCGCGCGCCTTCCTTCCTTCGCCCGCGCTCTCGGCTGCCCCCCCCGATCCACTGAGAGACGGCGCTCAAGCTGGAGCGAAGCCCCCCCGCCCGCGCCCCGTCGAGCCTCGAGCGGGGCGCGAGGCGGGCGAGACGCGCGACCAGAAGTGGGCGCCCCTGCTGGTCAGGCCCGACTCCGTGCAACTGTGTAGGCCCCCGCTCTACCGCATTCCAGAAGCCCAATGGGCCCGCCCTCGCCCGAACGGGCCCGCCGGGCACGGGCGCGAACCAACCCCGCAAAGAAGAAGAAGAGGAAACACATTGAAACAAACAAGAAAACCACGACAAAACTGCGACGCGCGACGCCGCCCGCAACTTTCGGGC